CGTTAAAATACAAAAAAAAAATACAGAAACATAAAGATACTTTAATTGGAAGGGACATTAAGCTATAATAAACACGGAACATCTAACGCAAAACCTAAATTGAACTAATTCTCAATAACTAGTACAAACGAAAATCTTAAAAGCTCGCAACTGCACTTCAAAACGTAAACCAACTAATCTATTGATGCGCTCGAGAGTGGATCTCTGAAATTGTTGTTGTCGAGCTTGCCAAGCGTCCGCAACCGAACGCCACTTTAACAGGCGCGCATGCGCCGAAGTAACCTCGCTTGTGTGAAACCGCGCGCAAAAGAAGCGCTTATAGGCGCGGGGTGTGGGGCATGCGGATAGCTCCCGCCCGTTCTGTTTTTAAGTTTTGTTTGTTTTTGTTCTACTTTGGTTTTAGCATAGGGCCGCCTTACTTTGTTTTTGTTTGAATTTGTTTCAAAAAAAAAGACTTACATTCTTTACTGCGATCCCCGATGAAAGCGCTTTCAGTCGAGTTCCGCTGTAAAACTCTTTGGAAGAAAATAAGATGTAAAGGTCAAATGCCCTAATTTGCCATGCCACACAAAGTACAACCTAAACTCGGAACAGAGAAAGTCGACAGCTTAAATGCTCTTTGTTATTTATTTGTTACCAATGGAAAAAAAATTATATATTCTAAGACATTACTAAAAAAAAATATTAATTGATTAACTCTACTTAAAACTAAATGCGATCGCCTTTTCCGACGACGCTGATGCTGCGCCAGCCGAACATGTTTATTTATTTTTTTGGGGCGGCGACGCTTTGGCGATATTAGCTGTGGCAATTGTAGCTTTGGCAAAAGCCGAATTAGTGGGGGTATGTAGTACAAACTTGTGGCAACCGAAAACCGTTGCGATGCTCCCAAATCTCTTGACGCTGCCAGTAGCTGATCTCGCTTGAAGTCGATGGGGAGAATCCTGGAGAGCACAGCAAATTGAATTCCTTTACTTGGCCGTACTATTCATTTTCTAAGCATCTTACCCAAAGGCTTTGCTCCCCCAGCGGACTGATTGTTTAAGTGGAGCCCAAGATCCGTCGATTTTGTTACACAAAAGGTCACTAAAACAAAGAGGACAACTTTTAACTAACTTAACCCGGTGGACAATTCTCCGCTTACTGCACATTTGTAAGGCTTGTGCCCGCTGTGGGCAGCTTTTATAGGGACGTCGCCTCACATTAGAAGGAGAAAGCCTATCCATCCTTTCATTCCTTTTAGACCAAGCCTACCCACACTTTGACCCTAGAATCTCGCGATCTCCACAAGAGAGTGATAGGCGCTCAGCAAATTCCCGCGCTTGTTGGCTTTGTTGCCAAGCGTAGCCAACATGTTGCTAAGCTTAGGAACATGCCTCGAGAACATTTCTCTCCGCAACATTTGCATCTGTATCTGCACAAGCGACCATTATAACTGGGAGTTCTTATTTTTTGCTGTTATACCCCTTACTCGTAGAGTAAAAGGGTATACTAGATTCGTTAAAAAATATGTTAAAAAATAAGATCAGGATCAATAGTCGATTGAGCCATGTCCGTATGAACGCTGAGATCTCAGGAACTATATGAGATACAAAGTTAAGATTAAGCATGAAGATTCTTGAAGTTCATACGCTGCGCAAGTTCATTTCGTGCCACGCCCACTGTAAAGCCCACAAATCACGAAAAACTAAAATCGCTGAAATCTCAAGAACTATTAGAGAAAGAAAGTTTAAATTATATTTCAACATATTTGGAAACATACAGTAGATTACGGCTAAATCAGGATGACCGAAGGTAAGAAGTCGTTAATTTGGCAGAACCAGAAGAGAGGAGAAGCAGTAGTAGAAGAATAGTATAGAGTATAGAGAAATAACAGCAGTCAGAGTCAGCCGCCAGCAGTCGTCGTGTAAAGTTGTGCAGTCAAATTATCACAGCTGTACGAGGTGTGTTCAAAAAGTAAGGTGACTCTTCAAATTTCGCGAATTTCAAATTTTTCGATTATCGAAACCTTTGAGTTATACGAGGTGTGTTAAAAGTGGGTGATTTTCAATTTCAAATTTTCAAATTTTTGATTATCTTCAGTTTTGGGAACAAGAAAAAGTCACATGGGGCAAATCCGGTGAATATGGTGGCTGAGGCATTATTGTGGGTGTTTTTGGCCAAAAATCCAAATCCTTTGATCCATATTTTTCGATAGCAAAAATCGCCGAGCTCGCAAAATAACTGTAACTTTACGCCTCTCACAACCAAACAAAGAGGATGTTCCATTGAAACTTGGTACAGATGTTAGGGAAGAGTGTACCAATATAACAAACAAAAAATCGATAATCGAAAATTTGAAATTGGAAATTTGAAGAGTCACCTTCTTTTGCACACCTGTTATTACTTGCAGAGTAAAAGGGTATATTAGATGCCTTGAAAAGTATGTAACAGACAGAAGACCCTATAAAGTATATATATTTCTAAACAGGATCAATAGCGAAGTCGATTGTGTCATATCCGTCCTACCATCCGTGTAACCGTGAGTTCTCAGGAACTATAAGAGATACTAGAGCAAGTTTATAGCATCCTGCCTGCTCGCTCTAACGCCCAGTAACCACAGAAAACTCAAATCTCTTAAATCTAAAGAAGTATTGGAGCTATAAAGTTTTGAATAAGTATGTATCATTTTGAGCAGACAGCGTACATGCCTGCATGCATATTGTACATGCCACGCTCAATCGATAAACAATTTCGCTTTCGCGGTTACCCAAGCTTTATTTTTCCCAGTAAATGATGTATGTAAATTCGATTTTGCATTAGCCGGTTTGCATCATAGAATGTTGGGATAAAACAGTAACGGGTATGTTATAGTCGCGGCGCTGGACGTTAGCGTTTACATTTAATTTTACTCAACTGATATATCTAGGCTATTAACAGACAAAGAACAAGAATTCATATTATATATATGAATTCTTTTATTATCGTTTGTTTCAATGTCCCAAATGGCACAGTGTGGCTGATGAGGCTGTTAACCTGCCTGGCTAGTTGGTTTGGATGTTTAAGAGTGTTGCTTTAAAGTTAGGTTATCTACTCTCAATTTCTTATTTAATGGCATTTAATAAAAATCTATATGACTGCTGGCGTTACGAATATACCAAGGGAATTATAGATTGTGAACGTTGGATGCTGCTGCGTGCTTTTGCCCAAAGTTCAGAGTCGTAGGTCCAGATTGATTTTAGACAGCAACTAAAAAGTAGTACTTTATAGTGAAGTTGAAGGAGCTAGCAAGAGTTAATTAGGCAATGGAATCGTCTGGCCTCCAGTTTTAGGCAGGTCTTTTTGATAATAACGTTTACTGGTGAAAATTATGTATTATTTGAGTTAATTGTCGGTTAATGTTAACGTGATACGCTTACGTTTGTTTTATCTGTTGCTGTTTTTGAAGACAGCAGTATAGTCAGCTCAAGTTTATAACCGATTTATTATTAATAAACATTTAAAAAAAATACAGATACAAGAGCGCTCACGATGGTAGTCAAAAAAAGGAACAGAAGATAAGATCGACATTATAATAAAAAATTCGTGCCTTACAATGTATTTTTTATGGCTTTATTAAACCATAGAAAGCGGTGGCATGTTGTTAATCCAAATGAAGGGTAATTTTGATGTTGCCGACTAGCGGTAGGGCGGAGTAGTCGGCTGGTATGCTTCTGGTCATCTGCTGCTCCAAAGTCGTCCTGAGGATAGTTGGTGGCGCAGGATGGTGCTCTTTTCGGTCAGGCCTTCGGTTCAGTAACTAAAATAAAAAAGGTACAGAGGTGGTCAGAGTTGAAATCTAAGAGCGAGTTTTATTTAATCGAAGTACAAAATTGATTTAAATATTTAACCTGATACAATTTAGTTTTGCCACCAAGCCAACTGCGCAGCCGCAAGATGCTCTGGTCATGCGTTCCGTGCAAGAATCACACACAGCTGATGCTCAATACAATAAGGGCGTAGGCCGTTGCATTGACACATCTGTGTTGGAGCAATAAGGTAAAGATTAATTTGACGCTGGGCCGAAAGCCAACTTGCTCGAGTTGTGAATAGACAGATGCTTTGGATGAAGGCTATTCGCGAGCTTCTTAAAGGCTAAATGGCAAAGGCGATTGTTGTAGACACAGATGATTGCATTATAACAGACTCCCTAATAAAGTAGTTTGATTAATGCATTACTTTAGTAACGATAAAAAAGGGAAAGAAAATTTTAAAATTATATGATAGTTACAGTTTTAATATTTAGTGAAATTTGAGTGTGGGGTAGTGGGTGCCACACATTTTCTTACTGAGGAAAAAAGCTGACATTCATTTACATAATAAGCATTTAAATATTTTATTTTCTTAAACGTTTCTTAGAAGTAAAAAATGTTTTACCTTTAGTTCGATATTATTCGTTATCTGTACACACTTAACAGTGACACTTCTTTTGTTGTGGGGTCATTGTAAAGTAAACCAATGAAATTTGAAAGTCTTAACTGAACTTAATCTTGAGTAACATGTAATAGTAACGGATATGTTTAAAACAGAATAAAAAACGCAAGAATATTTAATTATTGTTTACTAGAACAGGAAAATAAATTATTACTATCGTTTTTTTATTATAAATCAAAAATTGGTTAGTTTTGAATAAGAAGAAGTAAGATTGCTTTTCTATGTCCTTTTTGTAATAAGAAAAATGCACTTATAAAGCATGATTTGCTTATTAAACGGGATAATATTTTATTGAATAAAAACTATTTCTACTGGAGAGTGATGTTTTTTCGGCAATGTGCACACAATGTATACACCGGTTAGTTTTATCTCTTAACAAAATGTTTATTTATCATATCTCATAAAATTGGGTCGTTGCTGTTGCCGCCAACAACTGGTTTTAAATAAAAAACCAACCCTTTTTCGTTTCCTAACTTCCAGTAGCAGATCTTAGCAACCGCTTTGTTATTTTTTAGAAACATATATAACTGGCATTCAGAAAATATAAATATCTCTACACAAACAGGAATACATTCATTTTATTAAGATCTAAATATTTGTTGTATTACAAAAATGGATAATGATAATGAAGATATCGATTCGTGTGATTTTGCCAATATTTTTGAGCGAAACCCTGGCTCAGCACCCGAGGCAGAGGAATTGGCCCTTCTTCCCCCGGATCATCCGCTCCTGCGCAAGTTCCAAGAGTCTTTGAAGGGCCACTTATTACATAATAAACTTGATATAGAAAATGAAATTGCAGATATAAAATATCAAGTAAAGCTGAAAGAGCAACGACGAGAAGAGCAAGGATTGGCTTTATATGGTATGCAACAAAAAATGGGATTTCAAGAAGAACAAATTAAGGAATTATCTTTGGCAATCGAAAACCATTTATTAAATCTTAAGGTAGAAAGGGTAAATGCAAAAGCTTTAAAAAACGAATATGAAGAAAAAGTGATGCTTACAAATTCACAAAAAGTACTATATCATGAAAAAATGGTGGAACTCGGAGACTTGCAAAGCTTAGGAAGTAATATCAAGAAATGGGCTTATAACATTGAGGATGAAGTTAAAAATGCTAAAAGAATTGCTAGTAGAGACGCACAACTGCAAAACCAACTGTCACAGGAAAAACGAAAGTCAGATATACTTTTTTACAGACTGAATTTCGAAGTTAAAAAGAGAGATGACGAGTTACGTTCGATTTGTGAAGAAGAAACAGCAATGAACGAGGTCGTCAATATGTTAAGTATGAGCATAGCCAATGCGAACACTGACCTAGAGGTTTTGCAAAATGAACATAAGCGTCTCACACAAGCTTGGAGCGAGGTTATTATAGCTATTCAGCTGAGGGACAACATTTTGTTTCAAGTTCAGGATACGATAAGGTAAGAATCAGATAAAGTTAAAAGCTTGAAAAATTTAATGGTTTTTATCAGAAAAAACAGGGAATTAATTAAAATTAATTTGGATGGAATAGAAACTATCAAAAAGCAAATTGGAAAAGAAATGGAACTTAATAGAAAACTGGAGTCATTTAAACAACGGCTGGCCGATGATACTAATTTACTAAGACGAAACTGTAAGTAATCGGTTCGCCTAACTAAAACTTTTTAAAAAATTGAATTTAAAATTCCATTTAAATTTAATTGCCTCTTATTTTGGAATTTTATCCCTACAAATAGTATATGTGCGGACTCTGCCCAAATGCAGAGTAATTAGAATAAGTCTCCGAGTTGTTTCGATTTCTAATATTCACTGACACAAAAGAGAGATATGTACATGTGTGAGCCGCATGCATAAGAGTGTGTAAGGCGAATTCAAAATATAAACAAATGATTACAGTGTGGGGTAGTTAAGTAGAACAAGTTGGCAAGAATTCAAATTATTAGGCAAATTAAACATAGTTATTTATAAAACCAATAATAATTAAATAAAATTAGCATTAACTTATGATGTCATAGAAAATTTTTCGCCCATTGAATGATCCAAGGAGTATTCAAGCACCAATTTGCTCAGGCAGGGGCGCTATCTCACAGATGGGTCTTCGAATGGTTCCATTTTTCACCTTGATCTCGGCCCCTCTTCCTCGTCCATCAGCTCCGACATGCGTGTTGGTGATGCGACCAAGGATCCATTCCTGGGGAGGTGTGTTATCCTCGTGAATTATGACCATTTGGCCAATTTGAATGTTGTCCATTTTGAGCCATTTGGAGCGCGCCTGAAGCGTGTGTAAATAATCACCCCTCCATAGCTTCCAGAAGTGTTGCTTCAAGTAAGTTACGCGCTGCCACTGCGTAAGATAGGAGGAACTGCTCCCGTCCATTGAAGGCTCCGGTACGGACATCAAAGAAGACCCAATCAGCAGTGCTAAGCACCTCTTCATCGTTTGGGTCTTCGGAGGGGGGTGCCATTTGTCTTGAGTTTAAGATTGCCTCCAACTCGATTGCAATGGTTTGAAGCTCCTCGTACGTTAGCCCAGCGTTGCCCAAATTTTTCATCATTAGGCTCTTCATGGACTTCACTGCGGCCTCCCACAAGCCGCCAAAGTGGGGAGCACGCGGAGGGATGAACTTGAACTGGAATCCCACGATGCTGCTGAACTTCTGCACATTTAATGTGTTGGCTTCGTCGAACAGCTGCTGCTTAAAGTCCTCGAGCTGAGATCGTGCACCGACGAAATTAGTTGCATTGTCGTCAAAAGATTTCACATATAAAAAGATGGGGGCGTGGCACCGCCCACAACCTCAAAATCAGATATTAACTAAAAAACTAAGCACCCGTCTTTTATATAAAAGCCAAATTACTTTGCGAATATGTTTGTTAGCTGTTTTAAAACACAAGAACAATGTTTATAATAATAATTTGGATTTTTTTTTAATAATAGAAGGCGCTGCACGTATAATTTAAGGAACAATACAGCATTGGCTCATTTGAGGTTGCGTCCTTAAAACTTAAATATCTCCGAAAGTGCATAAAAGTGCACTTTCTGGTTACATTCATTCGAATAAGAATGAAATACTCTAAAACATTGTCTTTATTTCATTGATGGTCAATGTCAATTTAAAAATTAAATTTAAATCTAAAAATACGTTTCTTAGACTACTTACATTTTCACCCTATTATTAAAATACCACGATTTGTTCCAACATCTGACATAATACAAGCCACATTGATAAGAACCCAATTTTTAATTATAATAATTTTTAATTATATTTTCTAATTTCTTACGTTTTACGATTTTATAACTGCGCTCAAATCCCAATACTGCCACTGCTTGTAAAGATAAACAGTAACAGCTGTTTTTATCAGCTGATTTCTTCGCAGTGGCGCCATCTATAAAAATGGCTGTTATGCAACACTTAAAATTGATCTAATGTGAATGCAATTCAGTTAAAATTATTTTAATTTTTTAATCTTCAAAAAATGGTTTTTGGCCATAAAATAGGCCATAGGCCTATAGTGAAATATTTCCAACAATTTATCTGGCGCTTACAATCCAAGCCTGAAGATTGACTCCAATGAGTTCCTGTGGTCCAGCGTGCATGTGCTGCCGTTGGAGATATTCATCAAACTTCCATTTGAAGCAATGATTCTTTCAAGAAGAAGAAGAAGAACAGGAAACTTGGCATCGAGTGAAATGGGCGCCTTGGCTAAGCGGCCTCCTACATGTAATAGTGTTATAGAACGGTTTGATCCGTCAGTCCTGTTGGCGCAAAATGCGCCGGTAGGATGAGAATTTGTTGATAAAGTAGTCGAATATATCTTCCTTGCTAACACTATCGGTACATGTGAGGACTGTTGCTTTTTTTAGCTCCAACTCTTCATTGGTCTCCTGAGAATTTGGTTGAGGCCATCCAGATGAGTCCTGACGTAAGAAGCGTCAGCCTCTTGACACTATGTCCGCTGGATTGTCCTTGCCTGGAACGTGCCTACAAGTGATGTTTGACGTGGTTGATTGCATCTTAGAAATCCGGTTGGCGACGAAACAGTTTAGCGTGGACGAGTGCATGGTTAACCACTGTAAAACTATTCTTAAATCTGACCAAAAGAAAATGTTATTAATGTATTTTTTGAATTTTTGCTTAATCTTGGCCCATGTTTGACACAATAAATATGCGGCGCACAATTCTAGCAGCGGCAATGAAATTGCCTTTATTGGAGTCACTTCAGACTTGTCGATGATTAGCATTGGTTAAAACTCTCCATTTATGTATGTTTGTAGATATAGGCAACAGCCATAATCTAGCTTCAATACATCTGAAAATCCGATCGTCTGGTGATCTTGCAGATATCAGCTACAAGTGCACAGGGTTTGCATTTACTACTCCGTAGCAGCGAGATGCATAGAAATATTGCTCTGCTATTGCTACCGCTCTCATTTTTTTCGAGAGCGGGAGCAGAGCCGTAGCAGAAAAACGAAAATCACCTGCTCTGCTCTGCTCCGAGCTACGAAAAGTTCAGAGCTATAGCAGTAGCAGAAAATAATATTTTGTGCTCCGCGTAGCCGAAGCCGTAGCCGAAAATTGAGTGCGAGATCAGAGCAGAGCAAAAAATATTTTTTTTTGTGCTACGGCTCTCGGCTTTTCTTCTTCTTGTTTCTTACTCTGCTTTTAAAGCAGATCCTTCTAAGAATGCGTTTTAGGTAAACAGTTTTGACACTTGTAAGTTTTAAATTATAATGAAAACATGTCTCCGTCCAATAAAGCGTTAAACATTTTCAAGTATTTTGTTTTATTTTAGTTGTATTCAATATTGCATTCCATGATAGAGACCAGACGTTGTATAATATTATAAGGATATAATTACATATTTTTTTTAACTTTTCTTAAATTTTCATACATGTCGCATAGAAAAAGCACGTCTATCTTTAAATATAATGTTGAAATCCAGCCCAATGCAAAACACGACAAGTTTGATTTTATGGTTTTTATATTGTTAATTTAATATAGCTTTTATAGCTCGACTTATCTGTTTCGATCTCAAATCAAAAAAGGACAGAAAAAACTAGAGATGGTAAGCTCATATAGACATATCGAAACTCAAATATGAGAGAGTGCAACCATGCGATTATTTATCGCACAAGCTATGTTTATTTTGCACACTTCATTTAATAGGGATATTCTTACACACCTACTCAAAATAAACAGAGATTATACTTTAATAAAAACTAAATACAATGATTAAACTTCTATTTTGATAAGTCGAGCACTCTGGGGAGTATTACAAAAATTAGTCCAACATTTGTTGCAAGGGGTTGGGGAAACCCAGAAAAAACCCAACCAGACCAATATAACTTAAATTGAATGTATTACAATATTAACGTAGTAATTATTAATTAAATTAGGAAAATACAAAATATTAACTATTAATTTCTCATATGTGAATAAAGTGAAATAAGCTGTATATAAAAGAAATAGGAAAACAAAAAAATATTCATTATTATTATTAATTTTTGAATGTATGAATATTATATATATATTCAAAGCAAGGAGATTTGTAATATACAAATCCAACTCCACATCAGCTAAGACCCATTTGATCTCTTAGTGCGATGAATCGGGGTCCAGGCAAGGGCTTCGTTAAAATATCTGCCAGTTGGTTTTCTGTAGGAAGATACTCAATAGTTATTAGTTTTTGTTCAACTTGTTCCCTAGAAAAATGGTATTTAATATCAATATGTTTCGTTCTCTTGTGGCATGTGGGATTATTAGCAATGCTTATACAACCTTGGTTGTCCTCGAAAATCTTTATAGGTTTATTACATTGCAATTTTATATTTTGCGCTAAAGACTTTAGCCACATAGCCTCTCTTGTTGCCTCAAATAATGCCATATACTTGGTCTCAGTTGATGAAGCTGTAACAGAATTTTGTTTTTTTTTGTATTCCAGCAAATAAGGCATGAATCGAACATTTTAAATGCATAACCAGTAGTACTCTTTCTATCGTTCTCGCTACCAGCCCAATCTGAATCCACATACCCAGTAAAAAAATTTGTGTAATTAACACTTTTTATAAAACATAAGCTCAAATTGACAATACCTTTCAGATATCTCATGACCCTTTTAAGACATTGCCATAGTTCCTTATTATTCTTGACTGTATATCTACTTAATATACAAATGGCTGTACTTAAGTCAGGTCGGGTACAGAGCATTATGTACATCAAACATCCAATGACCTCTCGACATGGTGCGTTATAAGTTTCATCTAGATTCAAGGCTTCATAATTTAGTTTATTCGGAAGTGGAGTGCCAACTGGATTACATTCATTCATACCAAATTTATTTAAGACGTTATTAATGTAAGCAGTTTGACTTAATTCAAGTTTACCTTCACATCTATTTATTTTTATCCCAATAAAATATTTGATTTCCCCCAAGTCAGTCATTCTAAGTTTACCTTTTAAATAGTCCTTAAATCTGGACATCGTATCTAAATTTGAGGTGGCTATGACCAGATCATCCACATATAATAACAGATATATATTTTTATTTATGTCTCCTTTATCAAGAAAATAAATGCAATGATCTACAGCACAACTAACAAACCCAGCTGCTGTTACTATTTGCTCAAACGTA